TGGTCCTCACTGTACATTGGGCCCTCCGAGCCGGGCTATCGTCCTCTGAGCTTGGTGGACCCAGGTGTGCTCCGCTCCGTTCTTCCTCCTTCCTTTGCTTCAGCTTCCTTCTAGGTGTGGTGTGGTAGGTCAGTTCTTTTCCCACACCAGACAATCTATTTTCATTTTCTGTGGTACTCCCTTCCATGGTGGAATCATAATCGATTTTGTGTTGTCCTTTTTGACAATGAATGCCACATCCTTCTTGATTTTGTTACTCTCAGCATAGTAAATCATAACATTTTCTCATTGAAATGGCTAGTACCAGTCCATTTCCATTCACTAATCCCTAGGATATTGATCCTTATGCATTCCATTTCATTTTGACCACTTCTGTTTTCCTAGATTCATACATTCACACATTCCAAGTTCTGCTCATTAGCAGATTTTTGCAGCTGTTTGTCCTTACCTTGTGCCTCATCAGCAAATGACGATCTCAAAGGCTCCATTCCCCCAAGCTTTACCTCACTCACATGACCATGGTCAACTCCACTCCAAGAAATTCGCTTCTCCTTAGTCTCATTTTGAGTGCCCTCAAACTTGTTCTCAGACCATGCTCTACTTCCATTCATTAGTATGGCCTTTAGTATCTGACATTGTTTCAAAGCTATGCATAAGGTTTTCAGCGGCTCATTCCTCTGAAGTGGGGAGCCAAGTTCTTCTTGGGTTTTTGTTCTTATCTGTAAGCTCCATGGAAACCTGTTCACTTTGGGTGACCCTGTTTGCATTTGAAATACCACTGATATAGGCTCCAGCATCATAGCCACATAAAGCCACCACAGTACAACAGACAGACAAGTGGTGGTGTAAAAATGACTTCCCTAATTTTGTGTAATTTTTTTCTACTCTAACTTGATTAATTTTTAGTATTTATTTTTAATAAATAGTCTTCATAGAAAACTTGGAGAGTGTTCAAAACAATACAGTGTTTGTTAATGCTTCCATATACTTTTAGTTTTTTCCTATACAAATTTTGATCAATGGATATATATGTACATTCATTTGAGCATATTACAGAAAACAAATTAAGAAAAAAGTTTGAAATGTCACTATCTTTTAGAATATTATTCTGAAATGTGTATATTCTGGCTGAGCTTCAAAGATTTCTCAGTTGAATCTGTATCAGCCATCTGCTTACACTCAATGCTTGTTTACATATGCACTGTCTGGTAGTAAGGGTTTACAGTTGCAGGTAGGAAACTCTCTTAGGACCTGTTACTTAACTGAGAAAGGCAGGTCCTGTGTTACAGAAGCTAGAGATGATTTTCCAGAAAGGGAAAGCTTAAAAGTATATAGATTATTTCTCTCAATTTCATAGATCGAGAGAGCTGCAGTAGCAGCAGGAGCAACATGAATAGATTGTCCCTGTGCTGGAACGCCTTTATAGTCAGAGGTTCAGGTCTCCTGTTTTGAGCAACCTTTTAGTGGCTGGTTGGTTGCCTTTGGAAGGTTTATATGAGAGGTATGGTCTCCCCAGCTTGTTGGAAGTACTATTAGTGTTTGGCTCAAGCAATCAAAATAATAGCATCTTATATATTTAAGGAATTAAAGCGATTCTGTAGAACTCTTTTCTTTAGCCAGGTAGACACATTTACCATATGAAGAATTAGTTCCTTCAAAATAAAAGAGCAAATCCTTAGACTTTAGTTTCCTTCAAACATATAGTTAGCAGTATGTATATCAGACTTGCTTGCATTTTGAAAGTCAAGAAGTAGAAGTGATTTTATCAGTAACGTTGTGAGCTCAAACCCTCTAAGAAGCTCTGGTGGGGTGGGGTGGTAAGCACTGTATTGCTAACTAGAAAGTTGGCAGTTCAAACTCATTCCTTGAGAGAAAGGTGAGGCTATCTGTTCCTATAAAGATTCCCAGCCTCAAAAACTCACCAGGGCAGTTCTGCTCTGCTCTGCAGGGCTGCTATATATCAGTATTGGCTTAGTAGCATTGAGGGTTTTTTTTGTCCTCATTATGAAGAGGATGGGGGAAGTAGTGAAGGCAGATGAAAGAATTGCCAAATGGCATTTGTGCCCTGCCCTTCTCCAGATGTTGCTACAACAGATGCCATAAATTGATAACTCTCCTTGTTGTTTTCTTACTACTTCACTGATCCCTGGAGATAGAAGGTCATCTTAAAAGTCAACTTTAGATATTAAGCTAGCTATTAAACTATGCATCTAATAGATAATAGATATTAGATCCCACAAGTTCCCTTTGTCTAGGTATTTGGTAATTCTAAGATACAGACAGGCCCCAGGATGGCCATCTTTTGTTTGCCTTTTACTGGACTTCAAACTGGTTCTGTTATGGCCAATGAAGTGAAACAGGAGCAAATCTGAGTTTTCACAGTTTGAGTGATTCTTCACAATAAACAGAATAGGATAAATTATGGGTCAAATCCCTGGAATGAGAGACTTTGAAGAACCCTTTCAGGCACTGGATAGATGAGATTGATTATTGGAAAGCTGTGGATTATTGGAAGGCTGTGGAAGATTCACACACATTCAAAGTGGTAGGCTCCCATCTTTGATTAAAGCGCTCTTGGGGCATCACTAGTTTTGCACCCCTGCTTTGATGTTATGTAAATTTGTCCTCACTTTGAAATGATTGAATCAGCCATTACTTACAATAAATTCTTCATCACAGTCATCTTTATTTGCTACATGGGCAGCTTAGAGCTTTTTCTTGCAGTGAAAAAGGCTAAATAAGAACTATATGCAAGGGATGCCATACAAGGCAGAGACACACTATTTGTGGGTCTCTACAGCAACAAGGACAATGGCAATTTTGCTAGCGACAGCTTTGATGATGTGGGAAAGGATAAAGGGCTAGATGCCTTTTAGAGTACTGAGGAGGAGGACCAGGGGAAAATGTCAAGTATTTCCCCCTGTGGAGCCACCATAGATCAACCAGAAGTGGATCACTACATCATATATAATCATGTCCAAGTGAGCCTATGTGCTCATCCTCTTTCCTGTGATGGTGGAACTGGAGGAGGAGGAGACAGATTCCTTGCTCTTCTCCATGAAAGAACACATCATCAGTCACCATCATCAGTCACAAAAACTTGCCAGACAGAAACTATGAAGACTGGGGAATAGGCAAGCTCATCGTTACTGACTAAGCTGGAATCACCTGCCCTTTCCTAATCCTGTTTCTACTTATTCTTTTTTCTTTTTCCTTATTCTTTCATATGTAGAAGTAATAAAATATTCTACCTTTCAGCTCTTAAGGAAAAAAAAATCCATGTGCATCAGTTCTAAGTGACCTACAAATTCTCAAAGACACAGAAGCAGATCTCATTTATAATCCAGGGACTGCCTATACATATAGCTTCTACCTTCAGAATATCCATCAGAAATACTTTATTACCAACAATTAGTCCAGAGGACTAGTAGACCACACAAACTTTAGTCTCCACAACCCTGAGACCAGAAGAACTGATGGTACCCAGTTACCACTACCAAGCCCTTTGAAACGGATTGTATTTCTATTAGAGGTCCTCCTATTAGAGTACCTATGTAGGTGGGTCAAAGCTCAGAATCATAAAAAAGACAAGGTTTATTGGTCTGATAGAGACTGGTAGTGGTGAAGTCTATGGCTCTTGGTCATCAAGCATCAATTTTGTAAGCTCAATTTTCAGCCAAACAATAGATCTACAAGGTGACCACTCAGCTTTTTGAGATCACAAGGATAGGGTTTTCCCCAGAGACAGAAGTTCAGAAGGCACAAAGCAATTAGTAAAGTAGGAAGAATTAAAACTGGAAACACTGGGAAGAAGTGAGATGAAGAATGTTACATTTTGTAATCAGTGATAAGAACTATTGATTGGAAAACTTGGTTTGCTTTGTAAAACCTTCACCCAATTCACAATAAACGCTTTTAAAAATTCATTACCAAAATGGCCTAAATGGTTAAGCATTGCCTGCTAACTAAAAGGTTGACCAAAAAAAAAACAAACAAAAAGGTTGACAGAACCCAGCCAGCTGCTCCTTGGGAGAAAAACCTACTGATCTACTTCTGTGATGACAATAGTCAAAAAAAACCTTATGAGGTGGTTCTGCTATGTCACGTGGGTCAATATGAGTTAAAAACCGCTTGACAGCATTTAACAAAATATCTGAGCACCAAAAGGGAATTGTAAAAGTAATCAGAGATCAACCCATATTGATTACATTATGTGATAGAGGTTAAAAGTTCATGGAAATCTGCTATTATCTTTTAATTTCATCTGTCCATGAACTTTTGGAAGCCCCTGGTACACCCTAATAGCATAGTCAGTTGTGTGTTAGGCTGCTAACCGCAAGGTCATCAGTTGGAAAGCACTAGCCACTCACTCCCTGGGAGAAAGACAAGGCCAACTCCTGACAAGAGTTCACAGTCCTGGAAACCCACTGGGGCAGTTCTACTCTGCCCAGTAGGGTCATTGTGAGTCAGCATCAAATTGATGTGTTTTGTTTTGTTTTATTTTTTCTAGAGAGCTTACAAAGTCACATATAATAAAAACTTAGAATTATCTTTGTGGAGCACAGTTATTACTTTCAGTGGCTTAAAATCTCCTGGGAAAACTTTCTGTGGTTAATTAATGTGTTGGCAGGTATTCTAAGTTTATGTCCTCAGGTAACCCACATTTACAAAGTTATATCAACTGTTGAACAATTTATCCCTCAAAGTTTCCCTGTTCTAATCCTTAGTTCTGTATCTGTTTCCCTCCCTTTCTTTCCTTCTCCCCCTCTTCAGTGCATATGTGCATAGGTATTACCTGCCCCCCCCCCCAACTTTGTATTAAATACCCAGAGCTGTTAGAACCTAAACAGGATGAACCCTTGGGCTGAAACTGAGGTCATGAGTTACTTGTGTGATTGATTTTTAAAGGGGGATTTTATTAGTGATTATTTTATAGAACTTTATGTACAAACAGGGTCAGATTCTTTTTTTTTTTTTTTTTTTGTCCTCTCTTTTCCCAGGAACTCTAACCAGGAACCACGACCTACACTTTCCAGCACAATTCAGAGGCCACAGCTAGTTCCCACAGCTAATTTACCTTTAGAGATGAGCTCAGGACAGCTGGCACCCAGGTGAGAGAGAGTGAGAATCATTATTGGATAAGTCACTAGCTCGCGGTAGCTGGCTGGAGTCCCATTTTTGTTTGTTTTTTAAAGTATCCCCAGATTCTTTCATAAAATCACCTTTTTGCCACTTTCTCTCTTTAACTGACTTGTAACTTATAGGCAACAGCAACAGCAAACAGAACTGGAAGTGGTCCCAGGAAGAGATGGACTGGGCAGCTACACTCATCCCCAGGTGTGTTTGTTTTCTTCTCTGAAGTGCCCATTAAGAGTATATGAATCTATGTAAGGTTTAGGGTTTAGGATTATCCTATTAAGGCCTTCATGGTTATGTTTTATCATTGCATTCTACAGGTTTCAGTTCAGCCTGTGATAACCACTGGGCCAGAACACAGCAAACCCCTGGAGAAGTCAGATGGTCTATTTGCCCCAAATAGAGATCCAAGATTTTCAGAAATCTATTCGAACATCAATGCAGGTATGGGTCTTCCTCAATTCTCTTGTAAGTTCTCGTTTGAATATCTTATTGATGGTCCGGCTGCTGCCCAGCCAGTAATTTTCCAACATATTTCCACTTAATCATAATACCTCATAAATAAATAGGAACTTGCTGGAACTAATAACTACAGCCCCTTGACTGGCCCTCCCCCCCGACTCCTTTTGGTCCACAGATCAGAATAAAGGCATCTCTTCCAACAATGTCCCTGCCACCCAACAGCTATTCTCCCAGGGCAGCACATTCCCTCCTAACCCCCGGCCGACAGAGAACTTCAGGTGAGCCCCATATGTGTGTGCTGCTTTACAAGGCCCTGAGGGATTCAGTTGATGAATCCAAGTTACATTCTTCGTTGACTTTCTCTGATGATTTCAGATAAAGCAGTGGAACTTATAGGGCCTAGGCTGATGCAAGCTGCTTTTCTTCTTCTCTTGCTTTGCACCTTTCCCATTGCCTTGTTCCAGGTTGCAGTTCTGTTTGTCTTGGTCAGTGTGTGACTGTCAGTCTTCCTTGTTTTTTCCCCAAATGCCATGATCAAGCTTTTCTTAACTCCAGGGAAGTCAAGGGGACCTAGAGATAATACTATATTATCTTTTGGCTCCTAGCTGTTAGGATAAACCAACCTTTTAATCCTTTTACTCGGCTATTTGTTCACTCCTAGGAATAGTGGTCTGGCCCCTCCTGTCACCATAGTCCAGCCATCAGCATCTGCAGGGCAAATATTGGCCCAGATTTCTCGCCACTCCAATCCCACCCAAGGAGCAACCCCAACTTGGAACCCTAGCACTCGCCCAGGCTTTTCAGCCCAGGTAAATCACCTCATTTGGCTATTCTCCTACATTATGTTTTGTGTTTTTTGTCAGTCTCAGATATCTTTGCTCTAAATTCCTCTCCATTCATTCAGTTACCTTCTTTGTTAGAGCAGATTAAAAATTGTAAAGTATACTCCAAAACCAAACTCACTGCCATTGAGTTATTTCCAATGGGACACAGTAGAACTGCCCTATGGATTTTAGACTCTGTAAAATCTTTACAGAAGCAGAAAGGCTCATCTTTCTCCCGTGGATTAGCTAGTGAAATTGAACTGCTGACCTTGTAATTAGCAGCCCCAGGTGTCGTAATCCATTAGGATTTACTTACCCTCTTTACATCAGAATTGCCAAATGATTTTCAGGCCTTTACCCCTTCAAATAAGTTCTAGGAAGTTTGTACTTTGTGATACAGGAATAAAGGAGATAATTTAATTCTAATTTACATATAGTAATGTATATGTACCCCAAAAATTTACTGAAGAGTTCTTAAATATGATCTATTTTAAATATGATAAAATATAATGCAAATAGTCTTTCATATATGAACATAAGTGATAAGGTATTGCTACAAAATATGGAAATCTTTATTAAACAAAAATATCAAAATGTAAAGCTACAGTTTTTTGGCATGTCCTTCATTTAGGTCTATGTTTCTTTTAAAAACTTGATTGGCGGGGAGGAGACGAGCCATTCAGGGTGCCATGTAGCAACGATGAAAAATACAACTCCTCTAGTTCCTAAATGCTTCCTCCGCCCCCCACTATCATGATCCGAATTCTACTTTTTAAGTCTGGCTAGAACAGAAGATGTACAAATAGGAACTGGAAAAACAGGGAATCCAGGTCGGATGATCCCTTCAGGACCAGTGGTGATACTGGGAGGGTAGAGGGAGAGTGGGTTGGAAAGAGGGAACCGATTACAAGGATCTACATGTGACCTCCTCTCTGGAGGACGGATGACAGAAAAGTGGGTGAAGGGAGATGTTGGACAGGGCAAGATATGACAAAATATTAATTTATAAATTATCAAGGGCTCATGAGGGAGGAGGGAGCGGGGAGGGAGGGGAAAATGAGGACCTAATGCCAGGGGCTAAGTGGAGAGCAAATGTTTTGAGAATGATGAGGGCAATGAATGTACAAATGTACTTTACACAATTCATGTATGTATGGATTGTGATAAGAGTTGTACAAACCCCTAATAAAACGATTAAAAAAATCTTGATTAGAATGGTTTTATTGACATTCACATACACATCACACAATTCAATGGTTTAAATATGTTAAAAAGAGTTGTACAATCATTACCACAATCAATTTTAGAACATTTTGTTCAATTTTATACTCATTATTACTAGCTTCCCATTTTCCCCATCATTAACCCTAAGAAACTGCTCAGTCTAGCTACTGTCTCTATAAATTTACCTATCTGGAATTTCATATAAAGATAGAAAAAATGAAAAAACTCACAATAACAAAATAAAACAGAAAAATCTCAATCAATAACAGGAAATAATAACTAGAACAAATTTAAAATGGCTCAAAAAAGAGAACAAATTATTAGATGTTAAAATCTAACCTAACTACATCTGCATTAATTTACTTTCCAGTGCACATATCTGATAGCAAGGCAATTTGTGTGGGGATGCTGACAATGGATTTGGGGCTTTCACTCTCACACATAGCCTTCTGCAAACCAAGTGCTCAGAATTTAAACTCTAATACAGTTCCTTCCCTGGTCTTGGATTGTATTAGGCTTATGTAATTCTGAAGTGATTGTGAGTTAAATTGCTAACCACAAGGTCAACAGTTTGAAACCATCAGCTGTTTTGTGGGGAGAAAAGGCTTTCTAGTCCCATAAAGAGTTACAGTCTCCGAAACCCTCAGGGACAGTTCTACCCTGTCCTGTAGGGTCACTATGACCAGGATTCTGGGTGGAGGGAGGCTTTGAGTTGGAGAAGAGTCCCAGTCACATTCTCCTGATTAAAAATCATCTTCACAGTATCCTACTATGATAGTGCTACCTTAATGCTATTTCTTACAAGCACATGGCTGATTACTATGCAGGCCGGCAGCCCTATCTATAGGAGCAGGCATGTTGCTATTATTCTCCCTGCTCAGAGGACAGTCGACTCCCTTCTGCCTTCCCCCAGCACTGGTGTTAGGTTGCTTCCCTAATGAACTCAGGGACATCTAGGTTAGGACACTGCCCAACTTGTTATGTATGTGGTTGTTTAGCTAGGGGGGCGGTTTGCATGTCCCGAGAGACTATATAAATTGATGAAAGAACACATTCATTTTCTCTCTCAATCCTGACCCCATGGAGGAGGTGAGCACACTATATTCTTTGTCTCTTTTATTTCTTCTTAATTATACAACCATGCCTTAGAAACCCAATCAGTTGTGGGAGGCAGGCTTCCTCTCACACCTTGTAAGCATTCTTTGAGTTTGGGGAACAAAAATGCTGCAGGGTGGATGGCATAAAGTTTCCCCAAGAAATTAATTTAGAACAGCCCTTCAAACTTTGGAGAATGAGCAGCTCCATTATTGTGATAGGAAAAAATCCCATGGCATAATTTTTCTTGCCTTTTTCTCACCAGTGCTATTTTTGAGTTTCTTTAAAAGTTCTTCCTAATAAGCCCTTGTAGTTATCCTGTGCCCTTCAAGAAAATCCATCAAGATGACTCCCTTGGGATCAAGAAAAAGATTTCCTGTAACCTTCTGAACTGACTTCCTTCTCCGCTTTGACTTAAACTAGCCCAATAGATCCCCTCGTTGTTTTAATTGGTTCTTGCTCTCTGGATCATATTGGTAAATCCAAAATTCATCCCTGGTTATGATTCACTTCATTAAATTAACTTTGATCTTGCTTAAAAGATGAATGGAAACGTCAGCTCTTTGAGTTAGCTGATAATTGCATAAAGGTTTTTTTGCACTCATTGAGCCCAAAGTTTGTTGAGGCCAAGATGTGTACTTAAGATTACAAATGCTAAGCATGTAAGATCCCACTTTCAGCAGTGATGACTCTGGTCTTCTTCCACCAGCTTCTGGCCTTTACAGTTTTCTCATTCGTCAAGGTTGACATTGTCCCTCTGTGGGTTCTTAGATGTCTTCCCAACCTTTCTTAAAGCACTCAGTCCATCCTAAAACTGTTGTTTTATGTGGGGTACCACTCGTATAAACTTCTTGCAAAGCTTCAGTGATTTGGGAAAAAGTCTACTTGAATTTTGTTAAACATTTTTTCCCCCATGATACAAAGGTATTCTAAGCACCCCAATGAGACTAAAACACGTAATTTACTGAAGGAACTTTTCCTAATAGTGCTTTTTAACTAACCCTCATCAATACACATTTATGTTGTGCAAATATTTTACATAAAAATGCCAAAATCAAAAGCAGACTTTGAATTGCTATCCAGTATATCAATTATATTAAAATATATATAAGAAAATAAGAACTGAAATGATTTATCAAAAAATGTTAATCATGGTCCACTGATAGTGAAGTTAGGTATGATTCTTATTTTTTAAAATTTGTCCTTTCCAAATAATCCTTACTCTTACGGTAAAATTTTTTTTCTTTTTTAAAAGATGTTGGTAGGAACAAACCAAAGCAATGCAGACTAAATAATAAAATGATACAAATGTTTTCCCTTACATATAATATTCTGCCATTTTGAGTGCCATAAAGTTTTTATGTAACTTTATAAAATACTTATCTTTACTTCTCATAACCTTAAATGTGTGGTTTTATTAATCCTGTAGTCTTTAATTTTTGTACTTTATCACAACTCCCTAAAAAAAGTATTCTATAAATAAAAGAGGAACAAATAATAAGAATAAATAAAATTTAAATTAAAAAAAGTCACAGAATTAAAAACTCTGTCAGATGTAAATAAACATTGTTTCAATGGCTTTAAAAGGAGGAAAAGTAAAAATGAAACTGATTCAGATTATTTTGAAGTACACAAACTAGTTTCAAACATAGGGGGGAAAAAGTAGTGTCAAGGAGATACGGAGTTAGTAAAAAGAACTAGGCTAAGAAAATAAGTGATGAACTTGATTCCAAAGTTTATACCAAATTGACAGAGGGGTTGACTCTGTTGGGAATGGTGTGTGCCATCGTGGTAATATATTATTTGCTGATTCCAATCCCTTCTCTCCTTTAGCAGGTGACTTCCCAAGCTACAGCCAAGACTCGGTCTCCTCAATTTACTGTGGGCAACTTTCAGACTCCATCCTCTTTTAGCCCCATGTCCCTCCCTGGCGCTCCTACTACATCACCTGGTGCTGCTGCTTACCCCAGCCTCACAAACCATGGATCCAACTTTGGTGAGTTCAGATCAGAAGATGGGTAAAAGGAAGATTATAAAAAGAATGTGGTAGTTAACATTGTTTATCTATGTCCTGGATGCACAAACCTATTTGTAGGGTAATGCACATGTATTTTCTGGAGGGTGGCAGTCTATTTGTAATTGAAGACCTACTCATGTGAAAACCATTTCAGTACATATATCCAAATGCATGTAAGTTACTATAAATTTAATAAGATGCAAACTAAATATAAATGAACATTGCCCTCTTTGGAAAGACTACTTAGAGAAGAAAGGGAAATTTGAGAGTGAGTTTAAAATAGAAGAGGTTATTAATTGGCAGAGAGACGGACAGAAGGTATTCTAGTTAAGTTAATGGCTTGCATGTAGTTGTATACTAGTTTCTCATATCCAGTGGAGTTAATCGATTGAAATTGTCATTCCTCTTTGTGGTATTTCTAGCTCCTGAGACTGGACAGACTGCAGTACAATTCCAGACACGGACAGCAGAGGGTGTGGGTGTCTGGCCACAGTGGCAGGGCCAGCAGTCTCATCATCGTTCAAGTTCTAGTGAGCAACATGTTCAACAGCCATCAACACAGCAACCTGGGCAGCCTGAAGTCTTCCAGGTGAGCGGGAGAAACTTAGACTCTGGGAGGAAAAGGGTCAGGGCGGAAAGGCGGATAAGGAAGCATGCGTAGATTGAGGGGTTTGGTCTAGATCAGTGGTTCTCAACCTCCCTAATGCTGCGGCCCTTTAATACAGGTCCTCATGTGGGGCTCCCCACCCATAAAATTATTTTCATTGCTACTTCATAACTGTAATTTTGCTACTGTTATGAATCAGGTGACCCTTATGAAAGGGTGGTTCGACCCCCAAAAGGGTCGCAACCCACAGGTTGAGAACTGCTGGTCTAGATAGTGTCAGAGAAGACAGAAGGAACCTGTAGAGATAAATGCCACTAATTGAAAAAATTATGAACTTAGTGTGCTACGTGACCTTTAACCAGACCAGGCAAAGCTAGTGATTTGATTCAAGCACCACACAAAGATGCCAGAGGAAATGATTTTAACCCTTTCAAGAGCCACATCCCCACACCAGAGTAGCCCTGGATAGAAAATTGGTAGAACCCAGGGTAAAAAATCTGAAATACAACATAACTGCTTATAGCTGTAAAGATTAATTTGCATAAGCCCTGGGGGTCTTGTAAGGGTAAAAAGAGGAATATTAAGCAGACAGAGGCTAAAGGATGTTTGAAAGAAGGCAGTACTTTCTGTTTCCATAGGAGGTTATATGAAATATGGCAAGCAAATTTCAAAATACTGAAGACTGAAAAAAAAGGAACCTGTGGAAATATAGGAGGAGACAAAGAAGGGACTAGGAAAAGACCTGTGATCTAAAGGAGTGTTGGAGCTACTGGGAATAGGAGAGTTCAGGACAGCAGGAACTCTGGGCATCAGGAGCTGTGGTGCTCTGGGAGTGTTGGAATGAGCATCATACCTCCAGGGATCCAGTTGTGCGACTCAAATGTACTCTTTTTCTCTCGTTAGGAGATGTTGTCCATGCTGGGAGACCAGAGCAACAGCTACAACAATGAAGAATTTCCTGATTTAACTATGTTTCCCTCCTTTTCAGAATAGAACTATTGGGGTGAGGATAAGGGGTGGGGGGGAGAAATCACTATTTGTTTTAATAAGCAAATCTTTCTGTAAACAGAATAAAAGTTCCTTTCCCTTCCCTTCCCTCACCCCTAATGTGTACCCCTTTCCCCTCTGGCTTTCTCCTAGCCTTCCTGCCTCTCTAAGATAACATTTATAAATGGAATGGAATGAGGGCCCAAGGCTTTTGGAGCCCTTAAAAAAATTGAGGTTAGACAAGGTTAAAAATGCCTTTTTAAATGTCTCTTGACCAGAGATTGTGCCGAAATGGTTTGTGCCAGGGTCAAGGGGCAGGTGAGAGAGATCTGACGTCGACTTTGTGTCTTGGATACTACGGCATGTTTTTGCAAAGAAATTCTGAATGGGATGGAGAAGAGAAAGGCCCTCATATTTGAGGACTGTGAAATATGGTAGGTATATGTGGGGTTTAGGAAATGAGCATAGGCGCTTTCTGCTGCCTGTGAGCAATTCCTCTGGAAAAGAAACTTGTGAATAGGGGTGGAGAGAGAGAGAAGAGTGAGTGAGTGAGTGAGTGAGTGAGTGAGTGAGTGAGTGAGTGAGTTTCTTCCTTTTCTCCTATTAGGGAGTTATGCAAAATTTGTCCCAGAGTTTGTGTTTCTGTGTGTTTTTCAAAGAGTCCTAGGAATTAAATCTTACAGGTATTTCCTCTTAGTGTTGCAGCCAAAGAATATTTAAATAAATGTCTTTGCTGCACTTACCCAGATAATATGCAACTGTGAGCAAATGTATAAAGTCTTCTGTTGATAAGGTTGGTCTCTTGTCAAACATATTTAATGATAAGGCTGGGTCATTCCTGCTATGGTGCTCTCACCTGATATGAAAGATCTGCAAATATGGTAGAAATGGGCTGGCAAGATAAACACTTTAAGAAACCCCAGGCTTGGCCATAAAGACAATGCTGCATTTTCTGTCAGAATCACATATGATGTGTATTCTGTAGAAATTATTTCTGCATGGAAACTCAATTTTTTGGATTAACAGTCTGAGCAAAAATCACACTGTTGGGGTATACACCAAATACCAAGCCCTTTTGCAAAGTAGCTTCTTTCATCCCATCCTCGGTGTTAGTCTGGCAAGAAACGGGGATTCTCTCCTACACTAAAGCTCTTTCCTCGACTCTCTCCAGTCTGGAGATTGGATGTTGCTCTAGAGGGCAAGTGCAGTAATCCCATGTGTTTGATGGGACCTGGACTCCCATCCCAACAGGGTCACTATAGCCATATAAATGCAGATACAGGTTATTCCTTTCACTCTTTACCTTCCTCAGGTAAAAATCGTGTAACCGCCTTAAAAAAAATTGATTCAGGCCAGTATCTTGTATGCAAGACTGATAATAAGGAGAAGACATTAAATGTAGCCATAGGGGACTAAGGAGCACAGATGGCCTTGGAGAGGCTAAGGGAATGCCATTTATTGATATCCTTCCTTTTTGTCTCCAATCTGGTGCCAGATAATGGAGTAGAAAAGGGGACGATTTATTTTTTTATTCTATGTGCACACATACAGTATACATATATATTTATACCACAGTTTTAAGAAACAAAAAGTTGAGTTTCCAATGGAATCCTTGTTTTGTAATAATCGACTTTTTAAATGTGATCAAGACTATAATATTGTACAGTTATTATAGGGCTTTGGGGGGGAAGGGTGGGAGAAGATACTCTGGGGGTTTTGTTTCTGCTTTTCCTTCAGGGTTTTATTTTTGATTGTTTTGTTGTTTTCTTGTTGGCCATTTCTGTACTGCTGGCATCTGTGCTGAGCTTTACAGGGGCAAAAATAATGACATGTAGCAAAGATTTTAAAACAAAATATTTTTTCCTTTTGTAAAATTTCTTGTGTTGTGTTATCTTGATTGCGGCTTACCATTTCTTTACAGTTCCTAAGCAGACATCCGCATATAGACAGATGCCTTACTTGAGCTCCACACATGCAAAAATAAAGCACAGGGTGACTGTAATTTCAGGAATCAGACATCACAGGGTTCTGATGGTTCATCACTCCTCCCCTCCGTTGTCCTCCTGATCATGACACATCTGGGTAAAATCATAAAACCAGAAACTGACACTTGGACTAAAAGGGGCCTCAGGACCTTGTCCACATCCCTGGGAGAGGGGAAAGAGACCACTAGGCATATCTGGACTAAAAGGCGTTAATGCCCACTGCCGTCAAGTCAGACTCATAGTGACCCTAAAGCTTCTGATGTTCATGGGAACACACAGCCTCATCTGTGGATGGCTGGTGGGTTTGAACCATGGACCTTGCAATTAGTGACTCAATACTGTGCTACCAGTGCTCTTCAGAGGAGTTAGGGAAAGTTAAGCTGCTTAGGTCTGGGCCTGGTTTCCCTGTAGGATCATGTAATTCGTTAACTAATCGTGCAAACCATAAGCATAATGCTATATTCCTGAGGGTCTGTGCAGCTGAGCTAATAATGGAATCTAGGGCCCCAAATGTATTATATTTTCAATCCCCAGGGCCTGAGTTTTCCTTCCCCCATATCTGTTTACGGAAGAAAGTGGAATCTGGAGTGTGGTTTGGGGACTGAGTTAGACTCTCATGATCTGTCACATGCCTGGATGTTGGAAGCATTTAGGGAAGCTCATGTGACTGGACCCAGGTTGGGAATTTTAATAATCGAGGCCAAAAATGTTCAGTAGGCATTCCACCATCTGCGTGTTAACCATGAAGAAGAGTCACGTGAGCCCATCCGTGCTCATGGTATTGATTTAGTATTGTCATCGAAAACCAGGAGTGCTGTTCGCCTTGCTGTCAGAGCTGAGTCCACCCAGGCTTCCGGACTGTGTGTCCTTCCTCAGCAAAAACAGTCACGCTATTCCCCTGCCTGGAAGCAGTAATAATTTCTAGCCAACAATCATAAGTGACTCAGAAGCCTACCACTGCCCTAACATGACTCCTTCCCCGGCTTTTATGTGTATTTCCTTACTCTTAGGATGTAGATTTAGGCACAATTTTTAAGGTGTGAAGGTTTCAAAGTTGGGGAGGTTGATAACAAGAAAATGATATTAAAAGAGAAAGATGGGGCAAACAAATGTGTCCTTTCATTTCCTCACCAATGAGAAGGTAAACTTAGGCCAACTTAAATGTGTATTGAGGTCTGCTGTTAAATACAGTCAGTGGGATGAAGATTTAGCTGACCTCCACCCCTACGCAAATCTCCTCCTTCCTTCCCTCTTGCTAACCCCTCACCAAGGCGTTTCTGTCCCCGCCTCCCTCCCCTATCCAAAGTTTCCAGTGGATTACTAGCGCTGACTTCCGCAATCCTGATGGAATAAATCTAGCACCCTTACTCACCCGTCCACATTATCCGCACTTCCCTGCCGAAACAGCACAAAGAACAGATCCCCATCAGCAGGTAATATTTTTAACTTCCCAAATCTTTCAGCTTCTTATTCTCCATTTTAGGAATATTAGGGATGTCGTGACTTGGGGATCAGTTTGAACTTTTCCCGGTGGGTGAAAACAGAGACGATCTCTCTGGGCATTGCTTGGCTCTGTAAAATCTGCCAGGGAATATGGAGTATTCCTACATGAACGCATGCATGATTATTAGTAAAAGGAAAGTGATACAGTGACTCTTTCACCCTGGCCTTCAAGAATTGCCCTTATGCATTGCTTTCTGATTTGGCCAAAAGGAACCAAAAGGGTTAACTCGCTTATGAGGCGGGAGGAACGCCAAGCTTCCTACCCTGACTGCACAGAGCCGCCAACAACACCCAGCATCCATTGTTCTGCTGGACGATGTGAAAAAACCACATTTAAAATGATGCAAGCCGTAAGACTACTGATTGTACATTGGTCTTAAAAATGGAGGACATGTGATTAAGAAAAGCCACTGAAAGAAATAGTGAAGGAAGAATAAAGGCGGTTGATTTAGTGGTCATAAAATAATGTTTCTCAATCTTAGACTTTTCTAACTGACTGGTTCTCAGTCTTTCCGTACTGAAAGACCACCACACGTTTTTGGTTCCTGGCAAAAAAAGACAGGAAAATCTCCCTGCCCACAGCAGCTGGTTGAGATTAGGGCAACTTCCTGCCTAAAGAGGAGGGGGAAGAGAAAAAGAGGAAGAAATACCGAGAGTGATGTGACAATAAACATTTCATAGAGAACAGGAAATACTGTCTGCCGTGCCAATAATCTCTTCTGGCAAGATCCGGAGAAGGAGACTAACAGATTTCAGCATTTAGTTAAGGAAAAGAAGAATGGATGCCTTGAATAAATGGTCAGGAAGCAAAACGTAGCTGGAAATCTTTTCAGTGGATTCTCCAGCTCTCCTCTTACCTCTTCCTTACCCTGTCCATAGACCCCAAGCGTGCTGGGGACGTTGGAGAAGATAGGTGCCAGGTCCATTCTGATTGTCCAGTTTCTGCCGTGTGTGTGTGTGGGTGTACAGAGTAGTTAGTTATTCCAGTACCAGCAGATAGAGGGATTATAAGGAGTACTTGTAGGCCACAGAGAACCTCAGTTTTGACTACACTATTCAAGCTGTCCAGGAGGCAACAGCACAGGGCAACGCAAAACACAGCCGAAGGGTGAAGGTGTCTTCTGTTTTTCCCATTCTATCCTGTACTTTGTTTTAGGAGGTTTTTAAGGACCACCCTGCCAACTGTACTGGGGGGGATCCTTAAGAGGATAGACCTGAGGAGGTGGATAGTCTCCCACAGACCTTGGAGCTTAGACTTGAGACCCCAAAGATTTTTGTGGATAAGGTAAGTATGGGGCCCACACTGGGTCCTGGATATGATGGGAGATTCGTTTGATTTTTCAGGGACTGCAAACTGTGTTTCTCCCCACTAATAGTCTGGACCCTTCTCTAGTCAGGACTGGATGGTACGAAGGCCACACTCAATCTCTGCCTTCTTTCTGGTGTTCATACAAGTTAAGTGTTGGTTGGTCCTTCAAAATTCCTAGAACCAGATATGCCAGTACTCTGTCAAGACGCAGGTCCCTCCTGTCTTTGTTTTAGCATATGAAAATCACTCGGTTCTGTCTACATTCCTTGAGTCTAGTTTTTCCCTTGTCATTGAGAGGAAGGGGTAGGTTCCTGAATTCCTAGAATTATTGTGTGTATATGTAGTTTTCTAGTGAAAAGGACGTTTCATCGACTTCTCAACGGAGGCTATATAGCTCCCCAAGGGTTCATAGTCACCTGACTGAGAGCCTGGCTCCAGTTCTGACCTCATCCCAAGACAAAGTGTGAGCCTCTTTCCTCCCCCATTGTCCCCTTCCCCCAGGATGTGGGGGCTCAAGGTTCTACTGCTGCCCATGGTGAGTTTTGCTCTGTACCCTGAGGAGACCCTGGACACCCAATGGGAGCTTTGGAAGAAGACCTACGGGAAGCAGTATAATAGCAAGGTGCTCGGGGACCTGGAGGGGAGGGAGCATGGCCAAACACTGGACCTGGGACTTCTCAAATCCTTCACTAGCTGCCAGACTCCTTTCTTCAGTCTAAATGCATTGAACCACTCAACCATGCTAGCATGCCCTGGTTCCTTTTAACATAACAGTTTTCATTTCTGTACCTAACTCACCATCAAGCTGTCTTATACATTTGCTAACCTACCTTGCTCTTTAGGGAGTCTTCTCAGAATGATGCTTTTGTCTCATAGGCACTTTTTCTTCCCATCTCCCCCAGAGACTTGCACACCATTGCATGTAGTTTACATATTCTACTTTTTTTAAGTTACATTAAGAAATCATGATATTTTGGGAGAAAATATAGCACATCGAAGTTCTTATTTAATAATTTCTATATGTACTATTCAGTGACCTTAGTTACACTATTCATAATGTATCTGAATATTCATTATTTCCATTATAGTTCTATTTCCACTAACCTAGCCGGCTGCCCCCACCCTTACCCCCTTCTTTTTGGCATAGAGTGTTTGACTGTTAGGTCTCAGATGTTTGTTTAGAAAAGCATGATATTCACAGATTAGATATTATTCAACCTCTGGGAGTGGTTTGAGTTCCAAGTTTAAAAGGTATCCCAAGGCAGTAGTCTGTGAGGGTCCTTCAATCTGTCATTGCAATAAGTTTGGCCTGTTTTAGGAACTTGAGGATGTTTCTACATTCTCTTCCCTCCCACCCCCTTCATTTTGTCCAGAGCTATCAATTATGTCCCTGGTCAGAACAGATGCTAGTGGCAGCTGGGGACCATATAGTTCTTCTGGTCTCAAAATAGGTGAGGCCATGGATTATGCAGGCAATCCTATAGACTAGTTTCTAGATACATAGAGACCAATAGTTGTACTTTAGATTGCTACTCATAAGCTTTTAAGACTTCACAGCCTACTCAACAAACTAGGATGTAGAGTATTAGTTTTACATATGACAGCTGACCAAATTGCTCATCCTCCCCTTCTCCCGTTCCCCACTCTGGGCTCAAATCCTTAGTCAACCAATCCCTTGAGATATTTGGTTATGTCTAGAACAGCGGTTCTGAATCTGGGGGTCGAAGGACCCTTTCATAGGGGTTTCTGGATTCATAACAGTAGCAAAATGACAGTGATGAAGTAGCAACAAAAACAATTTTATGGTTGGGGTGGGAAGGACCCTTTCACAGGGGTTTCTGGATTCATAACAGTAGCAAAATGACAGTGATGAAGTAGCAACAAAAACAATTTTATGGTTGGGGTGGGGGGGTCCCCACAACATGAGGAACTATATGAAAGGGTCACAGCATTAGGAAGGTTTGAGAGCCACTGGTCTAGGAAGTGTCCATTACTGTGTCCCTTATGTGCTTTATTTTATTTAGAGATACATACTTCTTTTTATATACTCTTAATTCCATGGTCAGTTCCCCAACTTGATTGTAGTTTCTCTGTTGTGAGGTTTTGTCCCTTCCCCCTAAAACTTTTACAATTTTATATGAGACACAGCCTGTGCCAGTACTGACTGTCCTTTGGTTTAGGTGGATGAAAGCTCTCGGCGTTTAATTTGGGAAAAGAACTTGAAGTATATCTCCACCCACAACCTTGAGGCCTCTCTTGGTGTTCACACATATGAACTGGCCATGAACCACTTGGGGGACATGGTGAGTTGAATCTCAGCTCTTGGCCCACCTGCTCTGTTTGCATTATTTTCCTGCTCATGATTGGCCTCTTTGCCCTCTTTTTCCTAGACCAGTGAAGAAGTGGTTCAGAAGATGACAGGACTGAAAGTTCCCCCCTCTAATTTCCGTAATAATGACACCCTCTATGTTCCAGACTGGGAGGGCAGAGCTCCAGACTCTGTTGACTATCGAAAGAAGGGATATGTCACTCCTGTCAAAGACCAGGTACCGTCCATTCTTCTGCAGCTGGATATGTAATCTTGCAAGACTTCTTCCTCTTTCTACTTCTTTGTTTATGAAATAGGAGGGCACCAGGAATTAAGGAATTAAAAGGCAAAAGCACATTTTTTCATGCCAAGCGAATATAGACTAATCTGTTAGCACCTGATTCAGAATATTTAGGTTGTTTCTGGTTTTTCGTTATTAAAAATAGTGATGCAGTGATGAATTAACCTGTGCATATAATTTTTGTGCACATATACAAATATGCATGCCAAATCCTAAAATTGGAATTGCTAGGTTACAAAGAATGTCTTCCAAAAATGATTTTATAATCTTAAAATCTTACCAATTTAAGAATGACAGTTTTCCAAGAACATCAACAATGAATTATATCAATAAGTTGTTAGGTTTGATTTAACAGTTCTTCAACAAACAAGTCCCCTCCTGCCCAGAACTTAGCAGGTACAGTGCTAGGCAATAAATTGTAAGAAAATGAAAATATAACTTGTGTCCTCCAGAAATTCTCTTAAGACTAATCTTTAAAAAGTTAACAGGATAGAAATACCTACAGTCTGGTGGGGACTGAGCATGATAGTGGGACAGGAGGAGAATCAATGGAAACAGAGGAAAGAGCTGGGAGGCAAAGGGTATTTATAGAGGTCTAGATAAAGATATGTACTTATGCAAATATAT